TTAGTCACTTTATTACTTGACGACCGCGTATACTTGCGTGAGTGTGTTTGGTCGCAACAGCAGGTAAACAACACCTGCTCACCTACTCTGTAAATCTCAACCACATTTACTAAAAATCAGATATATTATGTCAAATGATTCATTTTTTTCATTTTGAGGTACATGCAACGATGCGTATAGTACAACACATGCAAATAATATGTCAATCGCATGATCTAGATCCCAACAAGCTTTGGAATCTATTCTCTTTTATCTGAACCATAAACTTAAAAAAGAACATCTAACAAGATAACCTAACTTTCTTGACAACTACCTCAATAATCCAAAAGAAGGGAATCCTTGTCATTCATGTATTAAAAAACTCAACTCCAACACATCAGAAAAAAACATTTGAACAACTTTCCAAAAAGAAACTACTAAAAGAGTTTTTTTTTTTTTTTTTAATAAAGAAATCTTTCCCAATACAAAGAAGTTAAATCTTGGAAGGGTTAATGTCATTGAATGAATATTATCTCAAAGCAAAAGGTTGAGATCCCGCCGCCCTATACCAGAGATCTTGGGTTTGAGACGTGAGAATAAAGGACCTCTTGGAAGTTGGAAGCAAGCGTTTTACTTGCCTTAGTGGGCCCATCTGATGTAAATTCGAATTAGTTAGGCTAGTGAGCTCTGCCTACCCAATACTTAAAACACTAGCTCAAAGCGTGACATGTCGTTTGGGCAATATGTATCCCGCTGGGTAAGACTCGTAATAAACCTCTGTAAGATAAGGAGGATCATAAGAAAGTCGTGGAGTGCATAAGCCCCTTTAGAGATAGGGGTGACTTTCTTGTGGTAGTAATTGCGAATGAGCAAGTAGGGGCGGAAACTAAAGAGCAACCAAGTCCAGTTCAAATGGCAGATTCAGAATCTCCCAAGAAGAATCAAGAAATGAATATAATCAAATGGACTAATAAGTGAACTACTTTGAAAGTTTCTTCCTCAAAGTAGATAACTTTTTTAAAGAAAGAAGAAGATTAGTTTTCTCATTTCTGCAAAGTTCTCAATAAGTGAACTATATATTTTATGTTATAGGGATGGTTTGAATCAGATGATTTGATGTCAGCTGATTCATCGAGCTCAAGATCATTGGTTGATGAACCACAAGTTCAGAAAAAGGGTAGCAGAATCAAGAACAGAACTGACTTGAAAAATAAAATGAAAACTTTTGGCAGAAGGTCAAGAACAAGTGTCGAGCAGCCGACTAATTATCCCTCTGATTATGAATCAACCCCCCAACATCTCTTATATGAAGGAAACAAGCTGTTCTGAAGTGAAAAGATGTCATTTCCAAGCAAGTTCTCACAGTTCTGAATCTAGCTTTGATAGTAGTGATCAAAGTTCAAGTTCATCTTATTTTCAATCAGATTCTTCAGCTTCATCTAGTCGGAAATCTTTGAGTACTTTATCTAGGACATCTAGCTTTAGAAGTGTGAAGATTTTGATAAACAAGGCTAGTTCTAAATCCAAGAGGTCTAACTCAAATTACCACCAAGTTACAGTTAAGTCAACTTGTTCTTCCACCCTAAAGGATTTGAAGTTCCCTAAACACGTGGAACTTCATCCTGGACAAAGTGAATCGGACAGGATTTCAAAAGTGAGAGTTTGTTCATACCATCACTGTTCACCCAATAATGATCCGTCGCCACCAGTAAAGCGTGTCTATACAAGGAAAAACTCTTTAAATCGCAGATGAGGACATTGATGCTGATTTCTATCATATGCTTTCACTGCCACTTCTCATCAAGTCAGGTGACAATGTCACTACAAGTGAGGAGGATGAAAATATCAATAGAGAACTGTCCAAGTATGAACCATTTGTCACTAAAACAAGATTGGTACGCGATGATCTTGTCGTAGCAAAATGTTGCACTGAGTTTTCTTCTGCTTCAGCTAGCAACACTGGAATGGAACTCCAAGAGAATTTGAAAGAGAAGGATGGCAAAGCTAATCCAACCGAGGACCTTGACAACGCGTCATGTCCAATAGGACATTTTGAATCCAGGAGTTATCCTCTAATTGAAGATGCTGAATCCAATGCCTCGGCCCAGAAACTGAATGTACCTCAGTTTGCAGAAGAGAAGCATAGGAGCATGTGGATCCTGATTCATAGACATATGATCCCTGATGTATCTACAGAATTGGATAGCAAACTGACCTGTGGAGACGATGAAGAAAATCACAAGAATGAGGGCAAACAAATCATGTGCTGCAGAAAGTTCTGATTCATTTTTGAATTTTTTCGAACGAGAATCAACGACTACAAATGAGGATGCAGATAACCAGGAGATTGAAGTGCGCAAGATTTTTGCCATTAAGCTAGTACGAGAAGCAATTGAGAGAATTCTTGTTCCAGAAGTTCAAGACCAGTCATCAGATGATCAATCAGTAACAAGTGAAGGTGGAATATTACTACTTATAGTATTTGTTTCTTTAGTTTTTGTTAGTGTTTTGTCAACATGTGATTGTTTCCTATCCCCTCCTTTTATAACTTCTATATTTAGGAAGTGACATGAATTATTGATTTTAATGTTTACTATATAACAGTCTGTACTGAAGAAAACTTCAAGGAGTCTGACACCAAAAATGAAGAATGTGATAAGGCATCCGAGTCAGATAAAGGAAGTATTACCAGAGAAAACATTGGCAGCCCGGACAAACGGAAAATGGAAGGACAAATTACAAACAAAGCTGCGAAGAAAGCACCAAAGCACTGGAGCAATCTTAAAAGATGGATTATTCTCCAACAATTCATCAAGGAAGCCATGGAGTTGGAGTGAAACATGTCAAGATAGTAATTTGAGAATTCTTTTACATGAATTATAAAGGCAAGCAAATTAGCTACCTACACTTTATAGGCTCTAGCTAATTCCCTGATAATGAGGAAAGAATCACATATGGTAAGCTGTATGTATATCCCTGTTATATTTTGACGATCTAACAAACTTACTGTCAAGAACCCGATAAGGAACACGTTACACATTCTCAAGACCTTAAGATCAAAAGGATCCAGCTTGGGATATGGTTAAACTCTTCAGAGTCAAAAGAACAACAGAGGGAACGGATAGCTACCGTTTCTCGAGAAAATTACACAAGTCAACTGTCCCAGTTGTAAAGTTGCTGCCTCCATATGCTACAGTGCAGAAACAGTGCAGCAGTCAACTTTATGGGGAGTGTCTTTTACCTACCTTGCTTACATCATCCTAGTGATGTCACAAATGCATTATTAACATCAAGGAAGGTTAAAAAAATGACTTGAACACTTAGAGAATTTACTCAAGCACACTCACTGTGATTGATCATCAAGAAAACGATTCTCAAGTGCATCAAGAACAAAGAACAACACTACTACGGACTAGTTCCCCATATCAGGTTTTTGTATGTCCTTAGTTGAGTTGTAACTTTGTAATAGTTCTTCAATTGTAATTCCTACTTAGCTTGTTTAGAAGCATTGCGTAGGAAACCCTTTGTAAATCATAAACTCTTGTGTTTGTATCTTAGCTAGAGTTAGTCGAGTTGTAAAGTCTTTGTAATAGAGTAATTACAAATTGGCTTGTAATAGAGTGTTACAAGTTAGTGAGGGATTAAGAGGTTAATTCCTAGGTTACATAGGTTGTAATCTGAAAGTTGCTCAATAGTGAAGTTGAAATCCTACAAGGGTAGGTCGTGGTTTTTCATCCCGTTGAGCCGGGAATTTGCCACGTAAAATTCCTCCTGTTATTTACTCACTGCAGTGTACGTGATTTCTGTTGGAACTTATAGAGAACCTAGTTCTCTATATAGTTTGGTGGACCCTTAAATTCTGTCAATTGGTATCAGAGCGGGTTCTTTCTATCAGGCTAACACCTAGAAAGGATCCTCATGGCTGCTCCACCAAACTTTGAAGAAGGTCAGTCCACCTACAGGACAACAAGGTTCAATGGCCTGTATTATGGATGGTGGAAGACAAGGATGCATGATTTTATCATGGCTGAAGATTCCGAGCTCTGGGACGTCATCTGTGATGGACCCTTCATTCCTACAAAAACTAGTAGTAACCCTGCTGTAACTATTCCCAAAACAAGAAAAGAATTTATTGATGCCGACCGAAAAGCCATAGAGAAGAATTTTGTGTAAAGAAAATCCTTGTCTGTGGTATTGGTCCTGATGAATACAATAGGATATCGGCATGCTAGTCAGCCAAGGAAATCTGGGAAGCTCTCCAGACAGCTCATGAAGGAACAACACAGGTCAAGCAATCCAAGATCGACATGCTCACAACTGAATACGAGCTCTTCAAGATGAAAAATGATGAATCCATCCAAGATATGTATACTCGCTTCACCTCTATCATTAATGAGCTCCACTCTCTTGGTGTAATTATTCCAAGAAATAAGTTTGTCAGGAAAATCCTTAGTTTACTGCCCAGTTCTTGGGAAAGCAAAGTGAACGCCATTAAAGAGGCGAAGGACTTGCAGAAGCTGACCATCGATGAACTCGTTGGCAATCTGAGAACATATGAAATGAAGAAAAAGAAGAACAATGAAAGAAGAGATCCCAAAAGAGAGAAGAACCTGGTCCTCCAGACGGACAACAATGATTCAAGTGGTAAGGATGGTGATATGGCTTACTTGACAAGAAGATTTCAGAAGATGGTTCACAGAAATTGAGGCATTCCAAAAAGGGAGAGTTCTAGCAAGCCAAAAAACTATGACCTTTGTCATAAGTGTGGCAAGCAAGGACACTTCATCAAGGATTGTCCCCTTCTAAAGTAGGATCAATTCAAGCACAACAAAAACAAAGAAGCTAAGAGGAACCCAGTTCCTGATAAACGCTTCAAGAGAAAGAATGACGCTGACAATGTTGTAAAACAAGCTCTTGCTGCATGGGGAGATTCCTCCAGCGAATCAAATGAAGAAAATGATCATGGTGATAGTTCAATGATGGCAGTAGAAAGTGAAGCAAATGATTATGACTCAATCTTTACCTTGATGGCTCAGTCTAATAATGATGAAGATGACGATGCTGATGAGGTAAATTTTCTGGATGTTCAGAGAAATCTGAAATCTTATTCTCCTAAAAAACTCATGTCCTTGGCAAATGTATTAATTGATGCTTATCACAATCTTATAAATGATAAAGATGCTTTAACCGTGAAATTAGGAGAAGCAGAACAGACCAGAGATGACCTAGTAGTCGTTGTAGTTGATTTAAAGGAAACAATTGAGAACTTGAAGAAAGAAAAGGATGCCTTAGATAAAAAAATTACAAATATAGAACATGAAAGAGATGGTCTAATGGTCGTTGTGGTAGACCAAAAAGAGACCATTGAGTGTGTAAGAAAAGAAAAAGAAGTCTTAACTGAGAGGGTTGCTAACATTGAGCATGGGAGAGATGACCTATTAGTGGTGCTAGTGGACTTGAAGGAAATAATTGGGGAACTTAAAATGGAGAGTAGGCTTGAAAATTCTCAAAAGGGAAAGGAAGTTGCAAGTGAGGTACACATTAAGCTTGAAAGTGAGTTAAATTCAGTGAAGTCCAGTTTGTGTGTTGAGCTTGAGAAAAACAAACAACTTCATGAAGAACTAGGAAGAGTGAAGAGTGACCTTGAAAAATCACTCAAGTGGACCTGGTCCTCTGATGCTATCACTGCCATGTACACTAACAATGGGGGAAACAGACAGGGGATTGGGTTCCAAAGGGAAAAGATTCCTTACAATCCTCATAGCAAGTACGTTATTGTACCTGATAATTGGATTTGTACTCACTGTGGCAATACTGGACACTTTAAAGAAAACTGTAAGGCCAGATTTTAGTCACAGCAGAAAAAAAAAGTTTTCGCTGAAAAAATAACTACTGGTAGAGAACCTGGTCCCTCATATAAAAAACGCATGATGCATGCTTGGACCAGAAGATCCCTTATTCACCTATTTCCTCATTACAAGGGACCCAAACTCGTTTGGGCTCCTAAGTCTAACTCCTGATTTTTTTGTGTAGGGAACAGTGAAAGGAAGCAGCCTACAATGATACATGGATAGCAGCTGCTCAAAGTATATGACTGGAAGTACAAATGATTTCATTTCACTTAAGGCCCTGCAAGAAGGGAGTGTATCCTTTGGAAATGGCAAGAAAGGATACATTATGGGAGTTGGAAGGATTGGGAAGTCTCTCTCACGCTCAATCGAAAATGTGTACTACGTGAACGAGTTGAAGTACAGCTTGCTAAGCGTTTCCCAGATCTGTGACAAGGGAAACAAGGTGGAATTTGTGTCAAAAGTATATACAATCACAAACCTAGTGACTGGTGAGGTGGTTTTAGTAGCAAAAAGATACAAAAATATCTATGTTACTGATTTTGAGTCTCTGCAGAATGGTGATATCAGCTGTCTAACTGCTGTTGATGATGATGCTGAATTATGGCATAGGAGGTTGGGTCATATAAGCTTCACGTTGCTGAACAAATTGGTCAGGAAGGACCTGGTTCGTAGTCTGCCCAAGTCAAGTTTCAAGGATCACAAAATGTGTGATGCATGTGTAAAAGGCAAGCAAGTCAGATCCTCATTCAAGCCCAAAAAGGAAGTCAGTATCTCAAGGCCATTTGATCTTCTTCACATGGATTTATGTGAACCCATGAGGGTGGCAAGCAGGGGAGGAAAGAAATATATCTTCGTTATAGTTGATGATTACTCCAGATTCACCTAGACTCTGTTTCTCAGAACCAAGGGTGAAACCTTTGAAATGTTTGTTGCCTTCGTCAAATAGATTCAAGTGAAGATGGGTAATAATGTAGCTTTCATCAGGTCTGATCATAGGACAGAGTTCGACAATGCCAAATTTGATGCGTTCTGTACTGAAAATAGTATCGCTCACAATTTTTCAGCTCCAAGAACATCTCAACAAAATGGTGTTGTGGATAGAAAGAATAGAACTCTTGAAGACATGGCAAGGACAATGTTGATTGACAATGGGATTGTAAAGAATTTCTGGGCAGAAGCTGTCAATACTGCTTGCTACTTGGTGAACAGGTGCATGATCAGGTCCCTTATGAACAAGACTCTGTATGAACTGCTGAATAGAAGGAAGCCCAAGCTGACACATCTAAGGACTTTTAGGTGTAAATGTTTTGTCCTCAACAATGGAAAGGAAACTCTTGGAAAATTCGATGCCAAAGGTGATGAAGGAATCTTTATGGGATACTCATCTCAAAGTAAAGCTTACAAAGTATACAACAAAAGGACTCAATGTGTTGAAGAGAGTATACATGTGATCTTTGACGAATCTCACCTCTCTTGTGAGAAGGACAAACGTGTTGACCAAGATGGAGAACCTTTATATGTTCCATGTGAAGTTATCGACATGGCAAGTGGAAAGGCAGACATGATGAGTCATGTCAAGGAATCCAGTGAAGATGATGCAAATACATCTCCATCCATTGGAGAGGAACCTGGTCCCACGATCACAACAACTAAAGCTGAAAATAGAGTTGTTGATGCAGTCCAAGGTACTCCACTTGCTGAAGTAAGAAGTGGCCAAGAACCTCAGTCAGATATACCTGGCTCCTCTACCAATGAGATTCAGGTACCAAATTGGAAGCACAAAAGCTCACATCCTCTTGACAATATAATCACTCCTCTCTACTCAGGAATTCCGACCAGGTCAAAAGCTAGAAACTCACTTGCCTTTTCAACCTTTATTTCTCAAATAGATCCCAAAAACATCAAAGAAGCTTTGAAAGATGCAGACTGGATCAATGTCATGCAAGAAGAGCTGCATCAATTTGAAAAAAACAAAGTATGGTACCTGGTTCCTCGACCTGCATATCGAACCATTATAGGAACCAGGTGGGTATTCAGGAACAAACTTGATGAGTTTGGAAACATAACAAGAAATAAGGCAAGGCTTGTAGTTCAAGGCTAAAATCAGGAAGAAGGGATTGACTATGATGAAACTTTTACTCCAGTTGCTCGAATGGAAGCTATCAGAATCCTTATAGCCTTTGCATCACATATGGAATTCACACTGTTCCAAATGGATGTCAAAAGTGTATTTCTGAATGGCTTCCTAAAAGAAGAAGTTTATGTCAAGTAACCTCCTGGATTTGAGAGTCACGAGCATCCTGAGCATGTGTTCAAACTAGACAAGGCACTGTATTGGGCTAAAGCAGGCTCTCCGGGTTTGGTATGAAAGGTTGTCAAAGTTCCTTCTAGAAAATGGCTTTACAAGAGGAAAAATTTACAACACTCTTTTTCTGAAGAAACGAGGGAGGAACCGACTCATTGTTCAAGTATATGTTGATGATATCATTTTCGGAGCCATATCTGACTCTCTTTGTGAGGAGTTTGCAAAACTCATGGGGAGTGAGTTCGAGATGAGTATGATGCGAGAATTAATTTCTTCCTGGGAATTCAAGTGAGGCAATCTCCAAATGGGACATTGATAAGTCAGCAGAAGTA